AAGGTCTCACCAAGGGTGTTGAGTTCCTACTCAAGAAGAACGGCGTCGACTACCTCAAGGGTGCTGGTTCTTTCGTTGACGCCAACACCATTAAGGTCGCCCTCAACGACGGTGGTGAACAGACCCTGCGCGCTAAGAACATCATCATCGCCACCGGCTCTGAAGCCACCGGCTTCCCCGGCTTGGAGATCGACGAGAAGCGCATCATCACAAGCACTGGTGCTCTTGCTCTCACTGAGGTCCCCAAGAAGATGACCGTCATCGGTGGTGGTATCATCGGTCTTGAGATGGTATGTATTGACCACGGAATGAGTTTTGAATGTTGGATCGTGCTAACTTTTTATCGTGATGTTAGGCTTCCGTCTGGTCCCGTCTCGGCGCTGAGGTCACTGTTGTTGAGTTCCTCGGCCAGATCGGTGGCCCCGGTATGGACGCCGAGATCGCCAAGCAGGCCCAGAAGATCCTGGGTAAGCAGGGTATTAAGTTCAAGACCAGCACCAAGGTTGTCTCCGGTGATGCCAGCGGTGCTACCGTCGCCCTTAACATTGAGGCCGCCAAGGGTGGCAAGGAGGAGGTTCTGGACTCCGATGTCGTCTTGGTCGCTATTGGCCGTCGCCCCTACACCGAGGGCCTGAACTTGGAGCAGGTCGGAATCGAGAAGGACGACCGTGGTCGCCTGGTCATCGACCAGGAGTACCGCACCAAGCTCCCCCACGTCCGTGTCGTCGGTGACTGCACGTTTGGTCCCATGCTGGCCCACAAGGCCGAGGAGGAGGCCGTTGCCGCCATCGAATACATCAAGACTGGTTACGGCCATGTCAACTACGCCGCCATCCCCAGTGTTATGTACACCCACCCCGAGGTCGCTTGGGTTGGCCAGAACGAGGCTGAGATCAAGGCCTCCGGTGTTAAGTACCGTGTCGGTACCTTCCCCTTCAGCGCCAACTCCCGCGCCAAGACCAACCTCGACACCGATGGTGTTGTTAAGTTCATCGCCGATGCTGAGACCGACCGCATTCTCGGTGTCCACATCATCGGCCCCGGTGCCGGTGAGATGATTGCTGAGGCCACTCTCGCCATTGAGTACGGTGCTTCCTCCGAGGACATTGCCCGTACTTGCCACGCCCACCCCACCCTCTCCGAGGCCTTCAAGGAGGCTGCCATGGCCACCTACTCGAAGCCCATTCACTTCTAAACGTCCTCAGATCTCATATATCCTCTCACAATGTACCACTTTTAGCTAACCTAGACTAGCTCGGCTAGCAAAATACATCATTCATGTAATCATTTCCTTTATTTTCGTGAAATACACATGCTGCATAACTTGAAAGAACCGTTGTAAACGAGTGTCGTAAAATTCCTCTTAGGTACGAAAACCTAACGTACCTACGACTAGCCCAATATTTTCCTATGTCCAGTTTCAACCTCATTGCCGAGAATGACATGGAAATGTTTAATTTACTACGGTCCACGTTTATTATCCAGATTCTTATTTGGTAGGGAATTGTTGGAAATACTTCAATCATCTATATATTAATGTATGCATCTATGTGTACAGATATCCTTCGTCTTTTCCCTTCTTGGCCTTTCTCAGCAAGGCTTTCACGCAACAGTAGCGTTCAAGAACACCTCTCGGATCTCCTTAAGATCCTTCTTCTCAGCCAACAACAACCCAAGCAAAATCCTCGACTGCTGGGGATTGAATATTCCACTGGCAATCTTGGTCTTCGCGCTTTCCCCGGTGAAATCAGCAGTGGGGACTTCGCCGTTCACAGTACGGTGTGACAACACAATGGGGATATTGTGCTTCGTAACAATGTCATTGATAGCAGAACCGAAATCCGTGGAAACACCACCGGCGCCCTCACCAGCAATCTATTATATGATTAATACTGCTCTGCTGGATATATTCGGATCTCATAAAACTGGGGTAAGTAACATACCACGATACCCTTAGCACCATTCTTCACAGCACTATAGATCGAATCGACCTGCATATCCTCATAGGCATACAGGATATCCACACGAGGCACGGAATCCACATTGGAAACATCAACCACATGCTTAGCATTTGCCTGTGCAGCCGGGTAATAGAAGTACGGTTTATTCGACACAATGAATCCTAGGCTTCCCTGCTCATAGGCCTTAAAGGTATCCATAGTATTCGCACTTGTCTTAGTTGCAAAGAGAGCGGAGACAATACGGTCGTTCAGAACAACCAATGCTCCACGGTCCCTGGAGTCCTTGTCTGCGGCAACGGTTACTCCCTGCAGGAGGTTCATAGGTCCATCCGCTGAGATAGCGGTAGAAGGCCGCATCGAGCCGACGAATACGATAGGCTTGCCGCAATTTACTGTCGCGTCGATGAAGAAGGCGGACTCTTCGAGGGTGTCGGTGCCGTGGGTGATCACGGCTCCGGACATGGTTGGATCGTCGCAGACTTGTGTCTGGAGTGTGTGGGTGAGGTTTAGGAGAAGGGATGAGGAGATGTCGCCGCTGTTGACATTGTGTGCCTGGACGGCGGCGATGTTGGCGACATTGAAGATGTCTGGTATCCTGGAGAGGATAGTGTTTATTCCTAAGTCGCCAGATTTGTAACCTGCTGTTGCGGTTTTGTCGTCGCTTGTGCCGGCGATGGTGCCGCCTGTTCTTTTGGTTAGGGGATATTTTGTTACGTAGATTTATCATGTCATAAGTTATTTATACTTACCAGTGGCTAGGATAGTCACATTAGGAAGAGAACCGTTGAAATGATTGAATGTCAAGCCGTTGGAGTTTGTATAGGATGTGTTTGCTGCCCGGGGGTAGATCAAAGGAGAGGCATAGCTTGTAATAGCTAGAGCAGAAATAGCGATTGTTTGAAGAGTGAATCCCATTTTGATGGCGATTCTCCACTCAAGTCAAGTGAAATAGAAATAGAAATATGGATATATATATAGTACAAATGTAGACGATGCCGGCATTGGTCATGGTTTATATATTCTGACGGAGTGTGAGGCACGCCATGCATCATCATCCGATTCTTACGGCTCCGATGCCGAATTCGACTAACTTCTCAATTTTAGGTTACTTGGCGATATGTTCCTCACTAGATTTACCCGTGGGCCTCCGAAATGTACCTGGTCCTTGCCAAGTACCCCAACCGCCTGCGGTAGAGTCTCCACAACTCCTCAACGTCCAAGGTATCTTTTGTTAGGGATTAACACATAAGATGTACAAACGATAAGTCGTCAGTGTCTCGATACTCGAAACGTAATAATACGCTCACTATCAGACACTTGAGTACCTGAAGAGATATATCTTCTATAAAAAATAATCCCCAAAGAGGGAGCGTAAATATAGCGCGGGCAATTTTCGGAGGCAGTTTGAAACATCTTTAAACCTCCTATGCTATAGCACCCACCATCACGACGTCGATTTCAGAAGTTCAAACGGTAATCGTGCCAAGGTCAAGACACCTGCCAGGCGTTGGTGGGCTTGGCACTATAACGACATTATATACGTAGGTAGGTATAGAAAGAGTGGAGAATTGGAGAAGTTAGTTGGGGTAAGTAATATCGCGCAGATCGTCGTAAATCCTGCGATTGTAGTACTGTGTTCCATATGTTTCTAGTTTTATTCGACTGATGATCAATATATATCAGACAAGCCCGAATGTTGGTTATTTTTTCGTTGTGCCTTCTTACTTTAGTATGTTCTGGAGTCTGAGTACCATATTTCCCTATCAGGCTCGGTCTTCTGTAGGTATTTACTTCATATACCTCCACAGCTCTCATACATCATGCTCCACTTGCAACCCGAAAAGGCTCGCTATTGACTAACATTAATAATAACTTGATCCTTGGCGGAGATCAAGGCCGATGATCAGTACTCTAAGGTCCCCAACCTAGAAGTGTAGCTGGGAATCCTCGGACTATGCCTAGAATGATCGGTCTATGAGTACGGAAAGCCGCCAAGCGTTTTAATCGTTTTTCAAATGTGACGTGCGTACTCCAAAAATGATCGTGACAAGATATAAAGTACGTAATTCACCGACTGCAAGCGCAGTGGTGTTTAAGTTGCAATTGCTTTTTGAATCCCTGATATACATTCTAGCGGCCGGGTTATGGGGACTTTTTGTCGCGCAATATCCTCAATTCCACCAACTGTTTTATTTCCAAGGTTTCTTTCGCATGGCTAGGATTAGATAGTGAAGTGATCAAAAAAAGACAAAAAGAAAACTCCGATAGGGGGAATCGAACCCCCGGCTGCCGTGTGAGAGACGGCGATGTTAGCCACTACACCATATCGGATGGGGACTGCGAAATTCTTCATTAGGTTTAATCTGATCCATTTTAGTTTAGCGCCACCAATACCTGCCTGGTGCGTGGTTGTATATAGTCCCCCTTCCCGCCCAACAGCCCAAGTTCCCTTTTTCGCCTTCCTTCTCCCTAGGCCTTATATTGAGGCATTTTTGCTATTGATCCGGATTACTGAGCTCCTGAGCTCTACCCGCCTAGCGGCGCAGTATGAATACAGAGCGGCCTTGCCAGATATGGTTTAGCGTTATCTGACAGAAATCTGTGGTACGATCAATGTATGGTAAAAATGGCTGATATTGAAGACTCTAACTAAAATGACAAAAACCCGCAATTTCACAATCTATGCGGACATCGATGACTAACTATAATATGCACTTTTATATGGTAAACGAGGTACCAATTGTCATATGATTTTCTGGGTAAATTACCCTGTCTCCACCATGTATTCGACCTTAGTTTCTGACATTATCTTATATACTCATAAGTCAAGAGTCTGGAAATCCATGGATATCGGTAGTGCTGACCCCGGAAGTATTAACGGGTTGCCGGTCTATGAAACCTATGGAAGTGTGCGTGTCATAGTAGTATGTGTCATAGTAGTATGTGTCATAGTAGTATGTGTCATACAAAATAAATCCCTCTCCCCGGCGACAAGCAAAACCTTCCCTGTACAAGATATTAGTTGAATGAATGCTCACCATGACTCGACGCACCCGCATACCTTTTTGCAATATTTTGCGAGTCCGTGATCCACCCCCTAGGGTCGAACCAGTCGAACCAGTCGAGCCCAAGAAATTCAAGACACTCTGGAAGATCTCCTCAGAAATAGTGGAAATTATCTTCCAGCTTCTTTCCGACCTAGACCGAGCTTGTTTTGCACTGAGCTGTAAGAGGTTGCATGCCTACTATGTCTCATATAACAGACAGCGTGGCATATGTGTCCTATCAACATTGCCTAGGACGTTACTACTTCGTCGCCTTCAAAACGAGCGCTGGGTATACTGTTCTAGATGTCAAAATCTTCACCGGCACTCTAGATGGCAGTTTCTAAAATTTGGTTGGAGATGTGATCCAAAGCCCGCTATATTCGAATGTAATACTTGGTGCGACTTCCAGCACGATGACAAAGTTGACATTTGTCCATGCTCGAGTATCACATTCCATCAAAAGCAACATCCAATTGAGTACTTTCAATCTCAACAGGATACTTTAAGACGATCGTCTTATCAGAAATTATCTAGGACGTTTACACACATCTGCACTATTCAGCATCCTCTAGCACGGGTATTTGTCCTAACTCGAGCTCGGTCCAACAAAACTTCCAAGACTTTCCAGGTGGAAAATGAGTTTATTTTCCAAGCTTCTAAAGAAACAGCTTTGTCAGGGCTCTTCCAAAAGATCAGCTCTAGACTAAGTAGGTACGAAACCGAATTCTGGCTAAAGAATTTCTTTAATGAAGCTCAATCCAACTTCTTCATTGGGGATAAAAGCTCTAACTGGTACCAATGTCATGGCTGGAATATTGCGGGGGGCAAACCATATGATTTTAAGATAACGCTACATAGGGATCTGGGGGGCGATAGGAGGCCCAGCAAAGGGTGGGATGGTAATTGTCATAAGTAGCGGATTGAAGTTTGCTAGATTGCTCGTTTTGCTCCTCACTTTCCAAATTGGCTGCCATGGGCTGATATAATATCTTCTGAATATGGCCTCTCTTATAAAGTCCAAGGTCGTCAATTTCGCTGAGCGGCGTGTAGACAAGTCACACTATTTAATTTGATCAACCAGCTATATATTCGGACTCAGTTTCTCGTCTTGATTAGCTTTCCAGCTATACTACCTCTAATGGAGTTGAAATACCCTGCTCTTATAGCGTAACCCTGCCCGAAGTCAGATAGCCCCCACGCTTATAGGACGACAATTCGCTTGGCACTAATTAGTGCAAACGCTGAACTGGATATCGCATATCCCGAGAAAATTAATCAAGACTAAGCCAACTTTTATACTGTCAACCAAACCTCTACAACTTATATATATCTACTTATATATCTCGCAACAGACTCGCAAACTAAAATAGGCATGTCAATCTCACCTACAGAAACCGGACTCCCAGACCTTTCGTCAATATCTAGCATACGTTCTTTTTAGGCCCTAGGAGACAGATAGACTCCAAGGTTGCTTACATATTGAATTTTGCCACCAGTATAGAAACCAAAGTGCCTCGTCGAGCCAAAAAATGCATTTTAGCTATTGATCTAGATCACCGAGCTCCTAAGCTCCGCCACCCCCTTATCCCTTGATATGACCCATCGGCTATTCTACGATCGTGTGAATACAATCTATGTTACTTGCCCTCGTTTGGCGCTATCTTCCTCAGCTGCGTTCAAGATAAGACTGCCTTTTCCTTTGTTCTGTGATACCGATCGGCAGATATCGACCGGCAGGCTCACCGCCTTAGTTATCAATCAGTCGGTTTATAGTTGACTGTCGAATACCAAGTCCGAATACATGGTAGAAACCAGGTAATATACCGGAAACATCATGTGACATTGGGTACCAGGCATACCATACAAAAGTGCATATTATAGTTAGTCATCATGGTCCGCACAGATTGTTGAAATAGCGGGTTTTGTCATTTTAGTTAGTTAGAGTTGTCAACATTGGTCATTTATACCATACATTGTTCGTACACCAGCTTTCCGTCAAAAACTCTAACTAACTAAAAATGACAAAATCCGCTATTTCAACAATCTATGCGGATATCGATGACTAACTGTAATATACACTCACATGATTTTCCGGTATCATACCTTGTTTCCACCATGTATTCCACTTTGCACTTTGACATATGAACATAACGAATTAGGATTGTCGCTTTCTCTGCATTAGTTGCCTTTGCGCCAACCACGTTCTGTTCAAATGATCATAATATAATCAGTTATCTTCCTACTAAATGCGTAAAATTCATTTATATAGTTTATAACAAAGATCTGTTTTATACTTCAAATAACTAATACATCACCTACCATATGTTCTTACCCACTCCACTTTTATGGCTTCCCTCACCAAATATATATATCTACTACATACTACACTACACCACCATTTATAGGTTTAATTAATTCAAATAAAAATATGAGTAAGCTTAACACCCGCACAATGAATTTCTCGCTTAACATTTTGTATAATACCCCTTAGTCCTCCGTACTACCTTTAAACGTCTTCCCATGCTCAATATCAATACATATCTATCTTCGACTGATCTAATGCATCCCATGCTTCCACTAAGCATTGTTTAAAATAAAGCCAGGCAGTCTCACTTCTTCCCATGCTAATAAGCTCCGGAAATAATATAAACAGCTTCACTTTTAACTAGCGCTATATAGGTTCAATCGGGTTTAAATCAGGTGAGTGTGTAGGCTAGTCCTCGACGTATATTCTATAGGCTTCAAACCACTCTCGTATCACTAATACGGTATGAATCTTTGCGTTATCTTACTAAAATACTATACCGGGGGTATAGATTGGTAATAGACCTTTTTTAAGTGTTTCTATATACGAATTTATAGTATAACGTCGCCTCGAAGGTAAGTCCTCGTCCCGTTCTATAATAACTAACTTTGTTCGACTACTAAGCTAGATTCTAGCCCAAATCATTTATAAAATATCTTTAATATAAACCTTCGTATTTATAAGTTCCTTTCGAAGGCCCTCTAAGGTCGTACGGAAGCACTATTGTGGTCCAAAGTTCGAGGTTCGTTATACCGAACACTCCGAAAAGATCTACGATTAAAAGCTTTCCTAGCGCTATTTCCTCGCGAATTTAAGCCTCTTTTTTGTAAGAGAGGGCTTAATCGGTATTTTCTATCTCGATCGCCGGTCCGTATCGCTTTAAAATTCGACGTATAGTGGAGGGTGATAGATACTGAGCTATAGTAGCACTTAGCTGCTTATAGGTCCAAAACGGATGCCGGCGGCCTATAAAAGAACTTGATAACAGGTTCGTTCAGTAAGCATAGGGGGACGGCCAGTTTTCTCACGATTTTCCAATTTTAAAATAGTCTTACGGGTACAGCCAAAATCACTAGCTAATTGAACCTGCGTGGCGCTATTATTGTAGGCGTATATAATAGCTACTCTTTGCTCAGTAGAAAGCTACGCCGATTTGTTATTTCTTGGTTCTATTTTCATTGGATTCGAAGCAGTCTAGGTGGTGTAGGAGGGAAAAAAAAATGGGTTAGTTGCCGGGTCAAATTGAAGTGGGGCAGTGGGTAAGAACATATGACTAGTATCTATAATATGACTTAGGCTGCCTGAAGTATAGCCCCAAAACCCAGCCCATTTGGTGGGTTAGGCTAGGTTGGGCTATAGGCTGTGTAGGCTTTCTTAAGGTCTATTTGCTGCCCTTGGCACGGGGTTGAATTTTGAAACGGATGGCCTGTATGTGGTATCTCCCTCCCAAAGTCTGGTACATCATTATGAGGTAGCTAATCTTGCATTTAAGAACATTTATCCTCAAACTTCATCCATGCATCTCACATATGATCGTACTAGAATGCAGTGCTAATAATATTGATGATAAAACAACCTTGATAACCATATCCTGCCTTAAATGGTTGAATCCGACACCCGTGTTGCCAGATATGGCGATGATACGGAGCTCTTTTTGGAGACTCTACCTCCACCTGTTCCTAGATACATCTACAGAGAAAGCCAACAGTTTCATAAGATTTTAGATTATGAGACTGCACGCTTTCGGAACTTGAACCACGCACTGGTGGCTCCTTCCCACGAAGTTGGTTTTCAGAGCCTTGCTTACCGTGATACCCTCCTACCCGGAACCGACGACAACACAAACTATATCATTTTTCACATTGAGCCCTCCGCGTTTCAAGAAGAAATTGTTAATCGCAAAAATCACGGACCTCTGGGTTTCTTCTACGAGTACGATCGATTTGCGAAAATTCTCATAATCAAAATGACCACAAGGGAACACCGCTGCGCCGCCCGCGCAATGAATACTCTCATCGAAGAGGCCCTCAAAGACATGGAGCTTGGCCGCGATTTCGAGTCTTTTGCTGGTGTGGAGGTCAACATGGGTGCAAATTGCAAAGTTCCAGATGAAGGTTGGGCGCCCATGATAAGCCCACGTGAAGGATCTAGTAGGCCCGCGGTGGTTTTGGAAGTGGGGGTGTCTGAATCTGAGACGAAGCTTCGCGCCGACGCGAAGATGTGGGTAGACCCATCAGGAGGTCAAGCCAATATCGCGATCACTATCAAGATCAAGCGAGATCGACCACTCTTGAAAATCGATAAGTGGGAATGGGATGCGGATATAGGAAGACCACGGGTCAACCACCATATTGAAATCACAGGAGCTCGCGGGACAGCTTCGGTTTCGGGAGAACCTCTATTGATTCCTTTTCATCAAATTTGGCGGAGGGCAGCTCAATACCCCCGGGAGAGGGACATCGTTCTCAATGTGGAAGATTTGGTTTTTCTGGCGACCCATATTTGGGGTGCGATGGGGATCGATTATTGATTGTTAGTTCATTTTCATTTTCGTAGTCGTTTCCTTTTTATATTCATATACTACGTGGGCCAGGAAGTACAAATTATAATATAGCACTAGTCCTAATTATATCTGTAAAACCGCCTATACGGAATCCCCACGATTATCCTCCCAAACACCACACAAAACCGTAGTCTTTCCGCTATCCCCCTGGATTACACCATATCGGACGACTACGGTGGATGTTCTTTCCTAATTAGTTTTATCAAGTACCACAGACTATCAGTCAACTCTACGCGTGCCTCATTGACAGAGCAAAAAAGGGCCGGAGTGAGAAGAACTTCAGGGTTGGGACTTGATTTCATGACGATGGTGACCCGTTTTAGTGGCGGGTCGGTCCGAGGGTAGGGAGGGTCACGGGACACTGCTCGGTCTACCAATGGGCGTGGATGGATATTATTCCAAATTCGAATCGGAAAGGGTTGCGGATCGGCTCCTAGAAAGTCTATCTAGTTTGACTTCGATGGGGACGTGGAACGTATGGGCGTATGATCAAGGGTATTCCGATTCCCAATTCACAGGAGGTGGGTTTTTCATAAGTACAGCCCTCAATCGTTTCTGACTTCTACTTTTTCTTGTTCGTTCCGAAACTTGAATGGAATACAAATCTAAGGATACAATATTCATTTTTCGGGACATCTCACTCTACATCAATCTATATAATCTATCAAAGAGCTCACAGTCGCCGAGCACCCTTGGCCTCTCCGAAAGAAAATCATTGGTCAATTCACTTTCCAAAAATCTTCAACTCCGGGTATTATCAGTCAAACCTTTCAAAATGAACTTTTGGACGCAAATTCAGGATTCCGCTGCTCTCGCTGGAATAAAAGGACAGTGGGGTGTGAGCTATTTGGCTCCACGTCCATCGCAGGACACCAGTCTATTTCGAGACGCATACGGCACATACTCCGCAAGAGTTGATCAGCCGGAATCCAGCCCGCCCTGCAAAGTCAAGCTGTTTCAAGACGGTCGCTTAGTGTCGAATATTTTTGTGCCAGGGACTGATCTCGAAATGGGTAACGATTTGCTAACCCCATATTATTGTGTGCGTATTACTGGCAGTCTAGAGGACGACAATTCCTCGATGCCGAATGTTCGTATGTGGTTGAACAATCGTGAGGTGCATGATATTTCGGTTACCCGTCGCGTCGGGGCAGTGCGCATTGTGCTCCCACTACTTCGCATTAATTACGATTTCTACTCTGAACACAGTAAAATTTCACTCCTTTGTGTTTGGCTTGCTTTGTTGGGAACTCTCTAAATCAAAAATTTTGTGACATTACTATTCATATATCCTCTTCAGTTCCGGAAATCAGTCTGATATTTGACAAATAACCATTTTCTCTAAATTTTGGAATCTATCCGGTCCGCCCTCATTGCAATACTATATACATCAACCCCAAGAGTGACCTTCTCAGACAGATCTTGAGACATTGGACAATAGCAAGGAAGTGGGGGTTGGATTAAGGGGAATAGAATAGTGGCGTAATACGTAGATTATATATTCCCAGTTTGTATAGAATTTGACTTTTGTATATAGCTCCGACATGGATGCAGACAACAGAACGAGATATAAAGACTTCGGGGTTGAAAAAAAGGAAAGGATGAAAAGCCCAAATGGGTAAACTATCGATTTTCTATCTATTGATTCAGAGATACAATCTAATGACTGTTCCGAAATGTCTATAGACCAATTCGTTTGGGGAGATGACTGTACCAAAGCCACCCACCAACTCACTCAGCATAACCCAGAAGATTTTCACTGGCTACATCTGTTATATTCCCCTCGTTAGTATCCGCCCTATCTTGCAAGGTTGACCCACCAGACGTGCAGTTTCGTACATTCGAACGGATGGACCTTCTCGAAAGGTCACAGGCCACCTAGGCAGACTTTTGAAGGTCTCGAGATAGATATAATCATAGAGTCGTATAGCTTTCTGCGTTAGGTCAAGGGTTGAGCCTAGCAAAATGATGAAACCACGGACCAATCAATGACTTAACTCGTGTAGCTTTTCGGTTACCCTTGAGAGTTTCTTGATAGGTGTGGTAATAGAGTTGTATCGTTTTTTGTTACGAACGAGACTGACCTCGTAATTCGGCTATACAATCCGACCGAAGAAAGCGCTCTATATAATGTTAGAAGGCTGGTTAAGTGGTAGTTACGCAACTGATCCTAAAGTATAGGTAGAGTATGATAGTACTTAATTAGATATACCCCTAAATTTTCGAACTCGGATAATGCTAGTATTCCAGCAGATATAGCTTAAAGAGACTATCGCGCGAAGATCTGAGAAAGAAGGTCTATTGGGAAAAGAAGACTGATGAGATCAACTAGGACTAAAGAAAATTGGAAGGCGCGACTAAGGTAGGTTTTGGGTCCGTCGTGCTACTAAATTTAGATACATTTTACTCACAGCTTGGCCTGGGTCTTGCTTTGAAATGTAATGGAGAAATGATACAGATGGAGATCAATAGAGAAAACACTGTACGTATTGACTGTCTCGCACCAGGAGAGGAGGAAGAGAAGGAAAGGAAAGAGCTATCAAACATTTAGGTTCTCTCACATTGTGATGCCTCAGCCATCCAACAACATGTCTGTGCTGTAATGACTCTGCCAGATTAAATCTTTAAATTCTGTCTTGAGTTCCCTCAGATACCTATATATAGATGAGAAGGAAATGCATTCTACATTGGTTGGCAAGATTTCAGTAGGCTGGACCTACGCATGATACTGCAAGCAATCAGCACTAGTTCAATAGATATACTAAGTCTTTGTACACGTTCATATCCTAGCCACTATGCTTAAAAGTATCTGGTATTGATTGAAACACTTTTCATCATTATTTTTTATGTCTCCGCCCCCGTAAGAGGGGCACTCAATATACAGCTATCCCATCAGCTGGCTGAAGCTTACATCGCTGAAATTAATATCCCAATAATGCCATCATTAGCCAAGAAAGCTAACATTTAGGGTTAGGTGACCGGCTGTACCAAATAAGAGCCACACTGTGTCACGTAAGCTTGGTAGTGAACTCTCTGAGTTTGTAGCTTCTCTAGGATTACCATTCCCCGCCAATATCAATCCACCCATTGCGTCGTTTGATACAGTCCTATCCTTATACCGAGCATACGTTGGCTGATTGCGAGATAATTGAATGTAAACTGATTTGGGGCCTAACATATCATACTCTGCCGTTTCCTCGAAAGAATTACAAGACTAATGCGACACCAGCGAGAGCAAGACCTTTCTCTCAAGAGCATGCAAGGACTCTCCTATCCTATCTAGCCTTGTATAGCCTATGGACCCCCTACTAAACCTCATGGCTGTGTAGCAGTTTAGGGATGGAAGGATGCAGAGATGAGAAGTCAGGAGCGAGATAGGGAAGATGGAGGGTGCACTACATGGAAATTGTTATATATTTTCTCATGTGGAAACAAATTTCACAGAAATTTGTATTGTGAGAGGATGGTAAACAGTTAAAGTTGTTTAAAACAAATATGCTGCGCGATGCGCCGGATAATATCCTCTTGAGAATCACGGCAAATTAAGCGTATCTGAAGAAATACCTCGGACGGACCTTTGTCGATATCGATTGAGTCTGGGAACCTCCCCTCCACGGTGGCAGCTTGGTCTTAGTGGAATCTTGGTTGGCTAAATCTTCGTTCATGTGTAAATATGCATTTCTGCTTGGCCTGGGTGGCATCGCGATTGTCCACATCTTGGTGTATATGTGCATTTGGCTTTAGCCGTGGCTGGCATCGCGGCTGGCTGTGCTTTGGTGTATATGTGCATTTCTTCGTGACCGTGAGTGGCATGTTGGTGTGTGGGGTGTGGGTTGGGTTTGGCCGATTGAAGCCTTGGACCGGGTATTGTCTAAAATATCTGAACTTCATCACATCTGTCCATCTATCCATGAACGGATGGGAGATCCGTTGGAGATCATGTCATGATCATCGAGTTATCAGGGCTCAAAACGGAGCCGCTAGGTATACAAAGTGGAGCTATGTACTTTATTTCAAGCTTTAGTAAACTCTTGTAATATTCTCCTTGTGCTCGTCCACCATTCATCTACAGCATCTAGAGCATTGCCATAAAGAGAAATATCCTTATAGTCGCTGTTGGCCTTGCCTGATTGTCACGCAACGTACGATATATAGCCTTGAAAGAGATTGAAATAGCATATGGGACGGCAGAAGTGGAGGGAAGGTGTGGTTCTTTCCACGGTTAAATCGACTATACGATCGGTAGATGTGAGGCGATGGAATGCTACTCTGTGGGCTATATCAATACGGTGGCAACTATACGGAAACGCCACGATTGTAAACCCGCAAAACTGATGATATTATATAACTGGCACACGTAGTCTGAATACAGTGCTAACAAGGAATTCATTTAGAGGGCTTGAGGCTACCGTGTCAACAGGGGTTACCTATGTATATAAATTATGGTGGTGTTTTTCTTTATCGCCACTCCGATTTAGGGCTCGCTGTAGTTGTTTCTATCCATGAATACATCTAAACCCAGATCCAAAATATTAGCCCCAACAGCTCAGCGGTTTAGGGTTGCACCGGTAATTCAGTGGTAGAATGCCTGATTGCAAATCAGGTTGTCGTGTGTTCAATCCACACTCGGTGCTCATTTTTTGCAGTTCATTTCCCTGGTCCCTTTGGAAGGGAGACTCCATTGGCGAGACATTCCGTTAATCTGGGGCACCAGATAACGTCCTAGCAATAACGAGGAGGTGCCGGTAGACATCCATAGAACATAACCACCAGTGTGTGTCTATAACTGGTTAACTAGATAGAGGGTATTATTAACGGCATCCTCCCCAGGATCCTCAGATCCCCTTTCTCAAAAACCGCTCAGATAAGGAGAAAGACAACCTGAAGGGGGCTGCGCCAAAAAAAAAAAAAAAAAAAAAAAGAAAAAGAAAATAGGAGACATTCAGAGAACCCCATAATTACCCGAACTCCACAAAATCACCCTCCGTGTCCTTTGCGAGTTCTGTAGCTCTCCTCTTCCATGCTTTCAAAAATAGCGCCGGGTATTCAATCGCTTGCGTTGAAAACCCCTTCTGTGTAAGCAGAATATTAGACGCAGCAAGAAGATAGGCGCGCTCAAATGTATCCCATAACTTGTGTTCGAGAGTTCCCATGGCTGCTGGGTTAGGGAAATAGGGGTCGTTCGCTGTCACAGCAGTGACCATCTTCCCGCAGCGAGACTTCCAGCTTTCCTTTAAGTTAAGCTGATCAGCCTTATCGAAATCAAGCATCCAAAGATGCACCTGTCGTTTTTGAAAATCTCCAGCAGAAATATCAAATGGATTGACCGTCTTGAAGTTCTCAACCACGGTCGGAAGTTCTCCATTTGTTGTCGCGCTACCAAGTACGAATTCCATGTCCATGCCGTCCAAGTGAGCCTTCCAGTGGATGATGGCCAGTCCAATAGCCATTTCTTCGGAGAATTGGACAGCTTCTAACTGGAGTTCCTCCATCTGATCGAGATAAAGAGAAAAGTTCTGAAGGCTTAGTGCTGGACGAGAAAATTCCCACTCTCCTCTCCGCTGTCCAAGGTATGGTCGTACAAGACATGCCTTATTACCCGGGTCTTCGTATGCAGAATGGTGCATTTTCTTCGGAAAATAGAGGTGAATGAGAGCTTCACGGGAGGGCTTAGGGAGTGGCAAGATCCGCTGGACTTGAAAAAGATATCCAACTTCAGTATCATCGGGGAATCTTGTCAAATTCTCTCGCCACCAGTTCGGTAAGTCATTCTCGCTGATCCATCCAGTAACTATAGGCACACGAGGGATGGAAATATTTGGAAATATTTCCTGAAGACAAGTTTGGGTCTCTGTCACTGCGCGGCAGGCAGTGTTGGTCAGATTTACATCGTTCCACAGCGAGTCCTTATCACGGCCTTTTTTGTACGCAGACTCTGTGCCAGGAATCTCAAAGACCGTGCCGCATGTTCCTCGGCCGATCACAACCAGTGTAGGACCCTTAAAGAATTTTGCTCGCTGCATACGCTCTGCGAAGCTAGAGGTTGATACGATGGAATGCACGCTTAGAGTCCGTCGTAGTATGTCTTCATCTTTTGTTAGGGCCTCCGTAACTGCCAGTATCTCTCCAGTGGCTTTGGTCAAACGAGAATCGGGGGCCAATTCTGTGTCATGGGAAGCCACAGAATCTTCAGAAATTTCGTACAGATGAGAAGACATTATTATGAAACAAGTTGTGGACGATGGATTGAGAGCAATTGGCTATGATGTATGGTTCTATAGAAGTTTTCGATCCGCAACCCACGACGGCTCCGGGGGAGGACCGAAAACCCTTGCGGAATGAAGCGCTAAACTATATCGGGTAATTTCAGTCTGCCTATGTAAATATATCTAAATATCTATCTATGAATGTAATACTACGCCGCTACATATGTATGTAAACAGGTACTTGCACTATACGGAAAGTTTACGTATGACGGAACATTTGAAAATCCAAGATAAATAAGACATGAGCATGAGGGTTAACTAGACTAGAAATATACGATCGACTTTGAAGAAAATGAACGCAACCAGTGTTCGCGAGCACTTGTTCTATACCCCTTAGCTTTCCAAGCTTGCATCAGTCATCGTACCAATTAAGGATCTAGTCAGCCAATTTCTGGTCAGGTATAGCTGTTTGCTCTTCAGCACCCCATTCAATGTTTGTATAACCGTGAGCGACCAGATGGTCCTTCCATTCCTGGTCACCGTGATCGAGGATTTTGTTGCTGTCCTGGAGCACAAACCAGGCTAGGCAAGCGCCGAGAACAGCAAACCCTGAGCCGATGAGAAAGACGGCTTGAGTTCCATGAAGGTCATCATCGCCCCAGTTAGCCATGATCGGCTTGAAGACTTGAGTTCCAATTGCCGCTCCGGCTTTACTCCAAGCAGCAGCGAATCCGACTGCATGGCCGCGAACCGACGTAGGAAAGCTTTCACTGGCAGTGAGAACAATTGTAGAACCTGGGCCGACCTCTCCGAGGGTAAGAAATATGCCGTAGAGCACGATAAACAGCGGTAGATTTGTCTGGATCGGGCCTAATGCTCCTCCTAAGATGAAACCAAGAACGGCCTGGAGGAAGAACCCAAGTGCCATGGTGCGGCGGCGGCCAATACGGTCCGAGAGGAAACCACCGATGAATGCACCAGGAATATAGAAACAATTTATCAATGTTCCCCAGGCCATTGTGAGGGCCAAGGAAGAGGATGGATTTACCCGACCGACGATGGTGGACGAAAAAAGGCCGAAAGGATAGGAGATGTAGTTGTAACTGATGTGATTAGCCACAGCGATAAAATCAGAAGGGGTTGAGGTGCTCACATGAACCATGAACCACAAACGCCCACCAACGGCCGCCAATACTTCCTGATCGCTAGCCAATAGGGTAGTCTCTGCTTTTTCATAGAGCTCTTACGATATGCAGAACTGACAACCATCTGATAGCGGAACCAGAAAATTGAAAGAGGAGCGATGGCTCCCATGGCTAAGGAGACTCGCCACACAGCTTCATAATGTTGCACTTCTTGATGGAAACACAAAAGTAACAGGAGTGGCACCAGAGCACCGAAGGCAAAGCCAAGAGATGCCGACAGATCGGCAATCATTGCGAAAATAAAGCCTCTTCGTTTACGAATTCCCGGAGCCTCGTCTGTGGCTTCAGCAGCACCTGCTCCTGCAACGGGGTACTCTCTATCCGCATCGGATTAGCGGGCTGTTGCACAAATCGGACAGAAAGGATCACTCACCCGCCCGCCCCAACACCTGCGATTCCTCGGGCTACGATTAGCATCCAAAACATGCCATCCTCGGTCAACCCACTAGCACCGGCACCCAGCGCAATCCCCAGAACCAAAATTGTGGTCGTTAGAACAGCACCACTTTTGCGGCCTAGTTTATCGGCGATGTAACCAAATGAGAGCATGCCAATAATCATGCCGACTATGAATGCGTTGGATAGCCGAGCGGCTACAGCCGTGGTCAGCGACTCCGGATAAATGACTGCCATTATCAATTCAAGGTTTCCAATGATCGAAGCGTTGAAGCCGTCCGAGCCAATCGCGAGGCCACTGAAGACCACCATCATGACCATGGAGAGGCGTGAGTAGCCTCGACCGTTTTGGGGATTATCTGTCGCATGTTGTCTATGTTGTCTAGTTGCATCTGGGGAAGGTGAAAGTGAGGTCCCCGTTTGAACGTCCGCTTCTTTCGATATTGCACTATTTTCGCACGTTCCATGTGCCTCGAATACCGTAGGCTCGCTCATGATGAAGGTGGGAATGTACCCTGCAGAATGTAGCTAGCAGGTTCGAATCGGATATGGCTCGCATTTTATAACACATCCCCGCAACGGTAAAGGCCTCATTTGTCCGAGATAGTTGCAGCCAACTACACCAATTAATGGGAGACCAAAGTAACTGCCGACGTCGAGACTAACGCAACGGAGCCTGGCCTTTGGCGCTAACGAGAGGCGGGGAAGTAAATGCGAAAGTAGGCAGGTCAAGACGAGATAAGAACCCCCCACTCTCGAGCTAGAGGGCTAAGCTCACAAAGGCGTTTTATTTCCCAACCTGGGGATTCTTAAATTCCTTCTTTGATCCAACTTTTTCGAATCATGTCGAAACAGCTGCCCTTCAGCGCCGAGGTCAAGCCCCGTAATCGCTTCTCGGCTCGCAGTCTGGCATTAATTATAGCCAGTGCTGGCCTGTTAGCCACGAGTTACAATTTTTCTCGTCATTCATGGTCGCTCGGGGACCAAAAGCACTTCGCGGCGGATCAAAGTGTATGGAATGACGCGGACAACCCCGCCCGCGTGAAAACCTTCCAACAATGTGCAATCAACAATCTTCTCGAGACGGGGCTTCCATTCATGGAAAGTGTCGCGCCCATCGCAGTTGCGGACTTTGAAGAGCGACGGGATCGATTGGCGCAAGCGCTGGTCGCCGAGGGAGCTGATGCATTTGTGGTGGAACCAGGATATACGTTCAAGTACTATGGCAACGTGAGCCAGCCCGAGTGGGAAGTGTGGGAGGTAAGACAAAGACACCCACTATGGTTTTTGGCGAGTTAAACTCACCAACGTAGCCGGAAGAGCGTCCTTTCTTGATGGTAATACACCCATTTCACGATCAAGCCACAGGCAATGTCAAGGCCAACACCACTTTTCTCTGTCCATCGTTCGAGGCTGAACGCGCCCGTCTACTTGGGATGCCCTTTTCCAAGGAAATCTCAATCGTTCCGTGGGAGGAGCATTGGAATCCGTACACTACTCTCTGGCAATCGGACGTGTTCATGGGTCTCCGTCAACCCGCACGTCTGATGGTGGACGAAGAAATGCGGGACTTCATCCAACGCGGACTTGGATCTGCAGGATTCGAGGTAGTCGGTCTACAGGGTCAGGTTGAGGAAGTTCGACAGATCAAAACTGCTAGGGAGGTTGACATTTTGCGCGCGGTCAATACCGGAACTGTTGAGGCGGTGCGACAGATGAGAAAATGCCTCTACCCAGGATTGACCGAGAATGAAATAGCTGCTGCCCTCGATGACGCCCTTCGAGCTGCTGGGTTGGATCCCTTCTTTGACATCGTGCTTTTTGATGAGAATGCATCCAACCCGCATGGTGGAACTAATGGGTCTAAGGTTTTGGAAGCCGAGACCTTCGTGTTGATCGATGTTGGGTGCGTATTCCTGGAAACCGTCGTAAAACTTGCCATCTAACGCTGAGATAGTGCACATCTCTATGGATACTCGTCGGATATTTGTCGCACTTTCTTCCCGCCGTTCTTGCAGAAGCCTTCCAAAGACGATGTGCTTTTACCGCGCATGAGTGAGAAGCTGAAGGTAAGTCATTTTGTTTCCTCTTTTCACCCAACTCACTGACTTCGGTAAAGGTTTGGGACATCGTTTTCGAGGCGCAAACTCGCTCAATTGATCAAATGCGTGAGAACATGACCGCAGCCAGTGTAGATATTGCTGCCCGCGACGTGATCAGTCATGCTGGGTATGCAGAAGCCTTTACGCATCGCGTGGGGCATGGTATTGGGATCAAAGGTCCCGTTTTAGCCATCCCTGTTATTCAAGTTTACTAGACTGACAATTTAGGCAGCCCACGAAAGCCCATATATGAACCAGGGAAATACAGCGAGCTTATTAAAAACCGGCATGACTTTCACTTCGGAGCCCGGAATCTATCTAGTGGATGAATTCGGGGTGAGACATGAAGATGTGCTTCTCGTTCAAGGAGACGGAAAGCCCCAGCTTTTGACAGGAAGCCGAGCCCAAGGCCCTTGGGAGCCTTGAACTACTGCAGTGCTGACTGCGGACGCAAATTGGAGACTAGTTCGAAAACGGAGATATAAGGAACTATTTACAAGCCTCGAATTCACGCGATGCTATGGCAACCATCAAGTCTCTCACTCCAATTTCAACCACAGTGCATCGTATTGGAAGTAGATTTTTGATAGATACCCCGGGTTATAACAAACGTGCTGGCGGCACGAGGACGGGCTAGTCTCTCCATAGAGTCGCGCCTATCTAGGTTCCGTCCGCGGTACTACTCTCCTCGCGTATTACTAGGATAGCATTTTGATGTTGCGAGTTTTCTAAGAGAATAAACTGATGCTAGCATATTCCAAGATTGTATTGAACAGCTTTTTTAATATTGTCATAAATAGCGGGAGCCAAATTTTTGCCGTATTATGGACGATGCGTCTTTTCACTATATTGATGGAATAAGAGAGCTATGCTCAAATTCCGGCATTAATTTGGTGTACCTATCATCGTATTCCCCCGGCCTTTTAACATCTTCGGTATTATGCTTCATAAAGATGACAGTGCCTAGAATCGAAAGCCAAAACATCTCTGAATAAAGAAAGCCTAAATTATTCTAACGCTGGTTTGCGAGCGCATGTACAATCCGTGTCACGAGAAGAAAATGATGGTCAAGGGCCATGAACTACTACTGGAGGAGTAATTACTGTCTACAAGATAACATTGATGCGCAACGTAATGTTTCACTGCTCCTCATCCGTCACAAACCTCTTTTATGCCAAAAGCCTAATTTTTAGACACACACTACAAAGGTGTATAGCAGCCTACTCCGGTGTATCAAAGTCCTGATAAATTCATCTTCAACTTCCTAATTGGGACAATAGGCGGGCATCGGTGGGCATCGGTGGGCACCTACCACCATATTCTACCACTAATACTACAGAATATTGGACCATACCGCCGCTCATCTAGCCCGAGTGGTGCACTATGCTCCTTTAATTACTAGTATATTAGATCTTCAGGTTCGCGATGAGACGGTGCGAACAATTTTATTGCCACGTCCCAGTCGAGATCCTAACGAATTATTGGTGCGTTACCTGGCAAATGTGAGGTGTTTCTCCTAACAAAAGAAGAATTGGGCTCCTTGGCGTAAATATCTCAACTTCGGTCTTGTTTGTTATTACACCCTTTCGGTATTTTCGTTGTAGGTTAAACCCGTCTCCTTTTGCACTGGCTACACCGAACCGTAATGGACCCACCAGCATTACTGTCGCTATAATCACTTGGGGACCGATGAATGACGAACTAGGCTTTACTTATCAGGAGCTCAACATTAGCTACGCTCTCGGCTGTGGGGGTGTGGCTATCGTTGCTGTTTTACTGACCGCATTTGCCCTCAAATTTGGCAGACGCCAGATATACATCACCAGTTTACTCCTTCAGGTCGGAATCTGTATCTGGGAAGCTAAACTTCAGACAGTGCCGGAATTATACCTTGTCACCTTTCTCAGTTGCTTCCTAGGAAGCCTTGCAGAGATCATGATTCAAATGACTGTTGCCGATGTCTTTTTCATCCACCAACGAGGGGCCATGAACAGTATCTTTATCTTTTGTCAGCACATTGGTACCGCAGTAGCCCCTGTTGTTGCTAGCTATATCACCACTTAGCTTGGTTGGCGAGCAGTATGGTGGGCTATGACCATTTCCTTGGCAACTGGTCTTCTTGCCTTTGTATTCCTATACGAAGAATCCAAGTATGCCTTGACTCTTCTAATGATTGTTATATATTCCAACAAATAATTCACCGTTTAGATGCTTCAGCGCTCCGACCGAGGGAGTTGAGTTAGAGACAAACAAGGAAACTAGGACAACGGAGTGTTCTCAGAAAAGCCACGATACTAAAAAGAACCCGGAGATCGAAAGCCACAAGCAACCTGCAGAAATGACAACCCTCGATAAGCTGCCGCCTTTATACGACGTTGATATTGATGAATCAATCCCATCCACGTCCTACAAACAGCGTCTATTGCAATTTACAGTTAGTCGCGGATCGATCTCACAACTCCTCCTACATACCTCCCAACCTTTCCATGTCATGCTTTGTATTCCAGGCATATTATACATGGCGATCATCTATGGTATGTCATGGGCCGTCATGACAATCATTGGGACAAATATGGCCACTTTCATGCCAGCCCCACCATATAATTTCAGTGCATCCGGCGTCGGCCTTATGACGTTGCCTGTCTTCGTTGGAACAGGGATTGGAGTGGAAATTGTCGGACCTACTTCTGATAGGCTGATTCTCTATCTTGCAAAGCGGAAGAATGGAATATACGAACCTGAAATGCGCCTCTGGTTATTAGTTGCTTTCATTCCGTTAGTTCCTACCGGTCTCATGGTGGCAGGCTGTGGCTTTCAATATAGTCTTCCATGGCCTATCGTAGCTGTGGGGTTCGGTGCCGCTTCTTTGGGGATCACACCAGCAATTAGTGTATCACTGACCTACGTTATCGATGCTTATACCGAGGCAAGTGGGTTCAAACTTCTTTGAGTTTAGCTGACTTTAGACAGATCCTGGGAGATGCTATGATGGGCATTACATTCGTTCGCAATATTCCCTCAATGGTGATACCTTCTTCCTGCTGCCGTGGATAAACCGCATGGGGCTTTTGAATGTTCATATCGTGGTATCCGTCATTTCGACCGTGATATTCATGATTACATTTACATTTATCTACTACGGAAAAAGGATCCGTACGGCCACTGCTACTCGGTATCGGTGGTTTTCCTCTCGTCAGTTCAGCGACCGGATTTAATATTACAGCTGTGGGAGAGTGAGATTTGTTGTTTATAATGAATGATTGGACTCAACTGGCCCTTATAGATGTGGGTCCGCCATCCATTCAGTTAGGTCAGCCAAATGATCACATTCTTAGGTTTTCTAACCAACTTCAACTTTAACCTCGATTCTAAACCCAAATATCTGGACAATCTATATATATTCTATATAACAAATCAGTGTGTTCAGTACTGAATTACATGAAGAGCAACAACTTATTTCACAGCCGAGTGAGAGCGTTACCCCAACAAAAACCCGCCAATTAACTTAAACTCTTCTTTAACCATCTACTATGCCACCAATTCGCTCTTAAATGACGAATACTCTCGATGAAGGAAGAAGAGAGAAGAGAGAGAAAGGAAGAGAGCAGAACTAGGTATCCGCCCCAACGTTTCCTCGGCATCTAAAGTCAATGCGCTTACAAAGCTCCAATATGGAAGAAAAATGATATACTGAGTTAATTTAATCGCTTACAGAACTGTAGATTTATTATCAAGTTAGTCATTAGGGCACAATAGTATATTCAACTTTAAGGGGAATTTTACGATACAGAAATCGAGATTGCCTCGCTTCAAGTCCTGTTGATCGTTTTAGTTTTTGCGCTTGCATTATCAAAGTACTTGGAAGTGACCATTATCAACCATTTCGGATGCCTTGGGATATCGGACTCAACATTCTCGCAGCTATGGATATCGCTTAAATAAAGTATCTGCCACTCCGTACAATATTGCTCCGGCGGCAAAAGTACCAGCGAAGACAGAAAATGCAACAACATATTGAGGTCCATCTTTAGCTGGAAATAAGGCACTACCGTACAGTTGAGCAAGTGCTCCAACTCCATTCATAGTGGCTAACATTATTGCTCTCACGTCTTGGTTGACTGACGCCAGTCCAGTAGTTGCAAAGGACAGTGCGAGAGCATTTCCAGTCCATACCGTAGTATTTGTGACACAAAGAAAGACATACCTTGCTGTGTAGTGTTGAATAGCTGCTGTCAATGCAAAAAATACCATGCCCACTCTCAGATTCACCACCAGAATGGTACCTCTCAAATGAGGCTTGCGATCGGCGATATAGCAGACCGGTAATGCGACAACAGGTGAAGCAAGATAAAGCGGAGCCGTCATGTATTGGGCTTTTGTTGAAGAATACCCCATACCTTCAACCAATGTCGGATAAAAATATGACAAAGCTAATGCACCAAGAATAGACATATACCCAGGAACAAGAAGCCAGGTTCTCCAGTTGGACAGTGCTTTTAGCAAGCAAATGAATATAGAAGTTTTTGTGGTTGGCGTCTCGGAATTGGCATGCGTCTCTGCTGCCTCATCATGAACCATTCGTTTCTACGCAAGATCACGCTCTACCTGGTTCAGTCCTCGACTATTATACGGGTAGTCAAGTAAAGTCCAATGCGAAAGAACGCTTATTCCGACGGTGGTAACGCCTTCAAGGATGAATAGCCATCTCCATCCGTGAATCCCATGAACACCGTCCAACGACGAGGTTATAGACCCTGAAACAACGCTCCCGAAGGCGCCAGATAAAATACCGGCAGAAAGAAAAATTATAAATCGCTTCGACCTACATTTTTGGGATCAGTCTGAACAGGACTTTGAGACACGACATTTTCAGCCTTACTGCTCACACTTTCGATACCACATCGATATCAGGAATATCACTGCTGGCTTTATCATTTTCAAATCAGCAGAGGTCGCAAAATGACAGGAATGTAGGCATTTATTCCGAGTACCTACACTAAACCCGGCCTCAAAAATCCCAAGAAGAAATCGTAAAACAATCAATTGGATGCTGTTAGATACAACTCCCAGTGAGGCCGCTACCGTACCCCAGGCAAAGGTGATGATTGGGATAAAGTATGACAGCCGGGTTCAAGATAAAATCATACTGCAGATTCAAGTTTTCATTAGCGGTTAATTCATATGTCCTGATTTGCCATAAACGAAGGTTCGCACTTCGATGGAACTGCCGCGGCGGTATAGCCAATAACCCAGACAACCACAGCTATATAGTATTCGTTCGAACTCAATTCCAAGTCTTTTTCCATACCGGCGATCTTCGCAAGGCCGATATTGGAACGATCCTAAGATGTTTAGACTTATCCAGTATTGGGCGGGACTTATGACCCACCATATCTGATAGAAGATAGAGGATGAACATCGAAGGCATCAGAAATAGGTCAATTTTGCGTACCAGTCGCTTCTCTGCTTCCGTGTCGATTTCACTGAGTCCGATGTTATGTTCATGGTGAGAAGCTTCAGCTTTGCAAGAATCTGTAGGTTGAGACATTGGTTTACTGCGCCCACTCAATGTAGAATGAGGAAAATCATTAGCTTGCAAGTAGGAGTGTTGGGGAAATTTATATGCTGAGTTCCTTTTCGGACCAGCGGAGGTAGTCTTGGAATATGGTCTGTCATGCGGGAATAGATTCCAGTTATGGAGAACATCTGGGGTAAAGCAAAGGAAAGCGGACATTGCTTAAGAATCTAGTACCCCGGTGATTGAAGATCAAGTAGCCCTTACTAGGCTGTCCTAAAGAATTGCTGAAGGCGCTAGCAATAGTTTTCTTGGCATATCGATTGGCACAAAGGGGTTTGGTAATGTTAGCTTATGAATAATAAGACTACCCTCGAAAACTACTTTGAGATTCGAGGCTGACACGATAATAATGTAGGTCATCCCTAGTTGGATAAGGGAGATGAGACCTTTTACGCAGGGGACAAGTTGCAAAAAGAAATCAACCTTAGACCCCCGAGAGAGACGTCTCTCATCCCTCCGCCCGTTACCGCCTCTTTTAGAACTAGAAGGTGAGGTCCATCGTGCTTCAGCATGCAATTGTACCTGTAAGACCCTCACGACTTACCACCAAAAGTTCATTAGCAATGCAATCTGACCTTACGTCTTGCTTTTCCAAGGGAGGGAAGAAGTTGGGCACATCTCATCAGTCTCCGGTCCGGTAAAAGTCTTGGTTAGACACCGTGATTCGTAGTCGGATGTGGTTCGGGGAGGTTCCGGCACATGCACGAATCTGACCACAGAGCCTTAGAAAGCTACGCGGTAGTAAATTTCAAGAACAAATCAACATCACAAAACCAGTACCATAGCCCCGATGTCGGCTACAGAAGTATTTCGCCTTTCACCTGGACCAGTCAAACTCGGCTAGAGTCTGAATTCAGCAAGTCCGACAGAACCCTGCATGTGTTTCGCACTTGTAAAGCCTATTTATCCAAACGGCTCCCCTCTATTTGTATCATAAAGCTAAATACTGCAAAATGCTGGCCATACAGAGCAACAATAATGAAGGTTCGATGGTAAATAACCATCACCAAAGGGGATCAATGGGAAAATGCAGACATAATGACATACATATGTGGAGAACCAGCATGACAAATGTAAAAGGCGGCCAGTATGTTTATCAATTTGAGTGAAAATCTTCTTTGGAAGGAAGGGGCGCTATTTGGGCAGATGAGACAGGTACCTAGGTTTTAGTAGGTAAATCAAAAGGGACCAATTTGATTTCGTAGGTCTGGTCTTGTGGCGTCGCTTAACCCACAAAACTCCGCAATAGCACGGCTAATATTACCCGGAAACATCGCTAATCTATCATAGGTTAGTATTAATGATTACTTCCCTGACACCCAATACTATATATCACAACCAGTGCTACAGTTGCAAATTATGTGCCAGTGTGTATACATAATTTTCAGCAAAAGATTCATTGTCGCCTAATTTCATTGTGGTGAACACCGCGTAAAACCACATTACACCTGGATGTGGATTAGAGTGTTCTCGGGTACGAGCCGAGAAATAACCGTGGATCCACCCACTTTCCTCTTTGGGTGATTTCGCGAAGCATGCATCCATGGATAAGCCTGCTGAGTTTGGCTTCATTTCAATAGGTTTGATCATTGATTTGTTGGCGATGACTATCTAAGCAAAAGTCTCATCACCCTGCCGGGTTATTGGCTACGTTTTACAAGACTCTCCTTCCAAAAGAATGAGACCATACGAAATACCCATCGAAACCAAGTTGGTAATCTGAACATTTTCCGCTAAGGTTTCCAATTTGGCCGGAAACTTAAAAATCTGATTGCTACTCTCGCTACATACCGCGTAGGTTGGACCTAGTCGAAACCCCGCAAAATTACGATGGTACTATGGTCCCATAGGAATACCATTATATGATCGAAAATTACTACACAATTTAATTTATTTGCTTTTTTGGGTTATAAAGGGTACCCATTGGGTTCTTGGGTTGGGTTTTGGCGAGGCCTAACTAGGAGCAAACAAAGGAGGTCACAATATCACTACGAACGGTATTACGGAGACGCGATTGTCCGATTTATGAAAATAAAATATGAAGCGACATCGCGGTTCGAAGAGCGGTTCGACTCGTGTAATGTTTTCTATGGCCCTCCAGTGATTTTCCTTCAGAATTGTTGGATCTGCTGTTCCAGACTTGCCCATTAGTTTTGTTCGGGCTGCTGCGTACTTGCTCAAGCGCAAATCCTGCAACCTATTTGACGGCTATCGCGTTTTCAGCTTCTTCGATCCGTTCAATGATCCCAGTGGACCGTGATGCTCAAATGGGCTGGCTGATGTTATACGCGTATCCATGCGACAAGCTCGCACTGCAAACCCACATAAATTTTCAAGACCCACTCTTTCTGTCCAGCTGCTTGTTAGCATGATGTCGAATACCAAGTCCGAATACATCGTAGAAACCAGGTATTATACCAGAAAGATCATGTGACATTGGGTACCAGGCATACCATACAAAAGTGCATAATACAGTTAGTCATCATTGCCCGCACAGATTGTTGAATAACGTATTTCACTACCGAGCCGCCATCACCACCGAGCCGCCCCAAAAACACCATACTAAATAGGATAAATTACAACTTGATATCTTAACAACGGTATACCATATGGAAATTTCCTAATGGGTTAATGCTTTTAGGAGATATATAGCATCTTAAGGGCTTTAGAAAATCTTTAGGACTTTATAGTTGAGATATATATATCTATTTTTAGGCAACGTAATTTTTAATACTATGATAATAATATAGGTTTCGAATTTTCTTAAAACTAATATATAGTATTTAAAATTCTTATCGATAGCTATCGAATAATAATAAAACCAAATAGTAATGTGGTTGCTACGATATAAGGTTGCAAAATATCGCATTTACTATGGTGTTTTCGGGGCGGCTCGGTGGTGGTGGCGGCTCGGTAGTGAAATACGTTAGCGGGTTTTGTCATTTTAGTTAGAGTCTTCAACATTGGTCATCTATACCATACATTGTTCGTACACCAGCTTTCTGTCATATGATACTAAGCTTATTAAGGCCGTGCTACATCTCATAATCAAACAATGTTCTTCTTGATATAGGTTTGCTCGATATCAGTTTCAGAATTCTTTACTTATTTAACTTTCCAAATGGTATTGGCAACTCTCATCTCTGCCCCTATAAAGTCTAGCCTGGTGAGGGTGACGAATAGGAAGATAGCCAAGATCAAATGCTACTTAGTAGACAAATTTGGTATGGTGCTCTTGAATCCTGCGTTGCTTTCTAATGTTTCTAAGTGTTTTCCAGAATTTCAGGGGTCAGACATATATCATATTCCGAATACGTCGTATTATGTATACGAGTGACGATCAAACGCGTATACGCTCATTTCCCTCACTCCAGGATTCGACTGACGGATTACGTACCTGATTACTGAACGGCCCCCCAGTTAGTAGAGTTTGTGGCGAAAATGAGACGGTAGACTGGGTACGGTCCGCGTTCCTTACCATCTTTGATATAAAGATGCAAGCTTGCAGATTCCTTGTCCAATACCTTTGTACCTTTTCTTTCAATCAACCTGTTTGCCCATCATCATTAAAGTTCGGCAAAATGAACGTCTCTTCGATCACAGCTTCAGCATGTGCTGCGAATGCTATCACATATCCCGCGGTATTCGGTGCTGAGATCCTAAATATTTCTGCCAATCTTGTTCTAAACTACTCCTCCGAAGTATCAGACCAGTACTATTTCAACAATCCTTCCATTAGTGTGAGAAACATCGACTACTGCAACGTCACCGTCACATACACGCATCCTGGTCAGAACGACACAATCAATGTTGAGACATGGCTCCCAATGGAAAATTGGAACGGACGGCTTCAGGCTACTGGAGGTGGCGGCTATGTGGCTGGTCGGTTCTTTCTGTCATATACTGCTATGGCTGGAGCTCTCGGCAATGGCTATGCTGCAACCACTACCGATGGCGGTATCGGATTGAGCCTTGTTCCAGATCCCTGGGCTCTGAAAAGTCCCGGAAATGTAGATTTGTACGCTCTCCAGGACTTGGCATCCGTGTCTTTGAAGGATCAGGTACGTATGAACAGACTTCGAGCTATAGTGGCTATCGCTAAGTTCCATTTCAGGCTATCATTGCAAAAGAACTCATTAAAGAGTTCTACGGCCAGCCTGCGGAGTACTCATATTATACAGGTTGTTCACAAGGTGGCCGCCAAGGAATGATGCTTGCCCAGCGCTACCCAGAAGCGTACGATGGTATTGCCGCGGCTGCCCCAGCGTTTAACTGGGCTCGTCTCTTTCCTGCTCTTGCGTGGCCACAGGTCATGATGGAGCTGACCGGGCAGTTTCCCACGAAATGCGAACTGGACGCGGTTACAGCTGGTGCTATTGCAACTTGCGATCCACAGGATGGCGTCACCGACGGCATCATTAATAACCCTTCTGCCTGCTCCTTCGATCCCTTCTCCATTGTTGGTAAAATTGTTGACTGCGGTAACGAAACTACCACGATCAGCAACGCAGCTGCCACTATCGCCAACCTTACCTGGACAGGGCCTCGAAAAGCCAGTGGAGATTTCCTCTATTACGGTCTTGATTACCAATCTCGACTTACTGGCTCTGGAGATCAGAGCACCACTGCAGCTCTGGGCTTAGCGATGACGACTTGCAGTTCGAATGGAACTTGTAAAGGATCGCCCGCGGGACTCGGAGAAGCCTGGTTGAAATTCATGGTCAAGAAGGATCCTAATTGGGAGCTTTCTAACATTACCTCGGTTGAAGAATATGCGCGCCTATTTCAGGCTTCTGCTCAGGAGTTTGACTCAATCTTTGGGACATTTGATACTGACCTCTCTGGATTTCGCGATGCGGGCGGTAAGATGATTACTTATCATGGCACGGTGAGTTACACCCCTACAATCTCCTCCTGCTTTAGCATTTGTCGACCACGCATTGTTTTCATGCTGACCTGAATAACGTTGAAGGCCGACGGTCTTATTTTTAGACAAGGAACCAACGAATACTATGATCATGCCACAGAGCAGACGCCGAATATCAAAGACTTCTTCCGCTATTTCGAAGTCCCAGGATTAGCGCACTGTGCTGGTGGAGTTGGAGGACAGCCAACAGCAACGTTCCAAGCCCTGGTCGACTGGGTGGAGAATGGTGTCGTTCCGGACACACTGCCGATCAACTTTAGGGACACAAATGGTACACATTATGAGAGGATTTTGTGCCCTTACCCAGAGAGGGCGCAGCTTGTGTCTGCTAATTTGGATGTGACAAAGGCGGAGTCTTATGAATGTAGATTGTAAGCGCGCGCTATGTATGTATGTCGATCAACTGAGGAGGATTCGAACATGTTGGTAAACGGGCTACGATGGGGTCAATTTGGTCTTGGCGATTCGTTGGCACACCAGAAGGACGATCTCACAGCACGGCCACTGGGATCGCCAAGCCACTCTCATTTAAATTTGGTTGCATTCCTGATCATGTGTGCTCTTTCCATCTGTTTCTATTCCTCCCTTGTGTACTCTTGTCCCTGATAGTCCACAGGGATCATCCCGATGCTTTGCACATGCTAGCCCTTTATATCCGCTTTACTCTGCTTCACTTTATAATCCTTTACTCCTCAGCATTGCTCGTATTTCTAGCTTATGAAATTTCCACTGTTTTTGTTTCTGGTGCGCACTAGGGTTTCTTTTAGTTATATATGACAGCTGTTTGGGGCTGAAGAAAACCAAGTCTTTTTAATTGACAATAGTGTTTCTTTGTTTTGTTCGTCAATCCTCACCACTAGAATCTTCTAAGATCGAGACTGGTTCTTATAGTATATACAGAGCCCTCTCACCAGTTGTTCTCGCCTTGATTCTTCGTTTCATGGATCTCAACGTCCTTAATAGATTGACAAATTGATTATAAACAAACATTAAAATCATTCGTGTTCTGATATGATGAGCCATATACATACATCATTACTATCAGACGCTCACACCTAACACACGTCAAAAATAGCGAATCAGAAGCTAGACAATTCTTCGCCGTTAGCCTATATACAGACCCCTCAATCCAAAACGTTGAGCCCAAGCAATTCAAGCATTCAGTTCCCCGATAGGAACAATCATATCAGGTCTCCTCGCCTCAACAGCCAACATATTCAAATTCCGCTCCCTGACCATACGCATATACTTCCGTTGCTCTTGGGACATGTCTTTGAACTTATCTAGGTCGCTAACATCATGCCACATAGAGTATACACTGAACCCGATGAGTCCTGTCACAATACAGCCAGCGATAATGAGAAAGATGTAGAGGGGGTATTTGTCGGGGTTGCTCATGCTACTACGCTTGAGCAATCTGGTAGCGTTATTTATTGTAGATGATTTCGTGGTTGCCCCTATTGTTGGTAACATGGCAGGCATCATGGTTCGAAGAGGCTGTAGAAGATAAATGGTCTCGTTAGTTATTAGATAATAGAGACAGAACACGGGGCTGTATAAACATACACTGTAGTAAAGGTGTCAATATAAGAGTTTGCCAATATTCCTAATAGGTATGCAAATGTTGAAAGCAGGAGACTAGGTTTACGAACTCTGGTAGCTATATGAATAAGAATTTACTACACGCTAAAATCTCGCCTCTGCGGCTAAGCAATGCGAAACCCGAATGAATTGGTAAAATTAACTCTACAGGTATGATATTCTTCCCAAATAGGCATAGCGGCCACAGGTTTCCTCGCCAATAAGGAACAATTAGATCAATCAAAATGGCCCGATGGTAAGTGGGTCGACCAATGGGTTGGAGTATGCTCAAGGGACAAAATGTTCTAATTATACGACCTAGGGGGTTTGACCGGAGAGACGCTCTTCGGCTTCGGCCCCCAATTTCCAGGTCTAGTCTGCTGCAGTGGCTTATCCTTGCTTCACTTGAACGACCTTGATATCTACCGTGCTTAATAGTTTGACGGTGCCTAGTGCCCCTCTCTGGGTCGACAGGTCCGCATTACATACGGCAAGTCTGTTTATTTGGATCTCACATGTGTCGGATAGATCGATATGTCTATGACTAATCTTCCAAGATTGTTGACTCTGTGACTTAACCTAAGGAGCCCGCCCCACTACCACCCTGTCTATGGTGAGTGTGGTGTGCATATTCCAGCCCAGCCACGTCCATCCTTTCTTCTGCTACGATGGCTCCCAAAGGTGTATATTTGTATAGATCGTCCCTCAAGATCATCTCTAATAACCCTTCAAACCTTAGGTCTCTTTCTCAAGGCTTCCCCTGGGGGTTTCCTTTCCTTTTTATTCTTCTTTCTTCATCTCGTAACAGAGTAGAAATGGAGATAAACTACGAGCTGAATTTGTTGTCGATATATTATACTCAGGCCAAACCTACTGGACGCTGGTTATACTTAGTCAGCAAATCTGGCCTGCTCAAGCTCTAGGACCGCGAATCTTATATCTTTCTTTGCCGCAGTCCACACGCGTATGACATTTCCAATTGAAGACACTATATGATCCATCCACATGTTTCAACCGCCGCATTTCATGCGACCAGTCCGGAACACCATGCTTGAAATGCGAAAGAGCTGGCATGGAATGCTTCGACAAAAGGCCGCTAAGGTAGGTCAAGAGTGCGGCAATCCGGGGAATGATGTAAAGCTATGCGTATGAGGGTACAGCAGATGGACCTTCTGTACATATCCGAGGGTTACCAAATCCGCACTATCAACACCGAAGAGATTGCCCCGTGGCTGGTGCAAGCTTCTTCTGATAGATCTCGGCCGGTCAGCTTGCAAGTTAAACCTCGAATTTCCGGTTTTCTTTTTTGGCTAGCTTCAAGGCAGTGCTAGAGATGCTGGAGATTTCTCTATACGCGTATTCGGAAAGATAACCAAGGGACCAGGTTATGTCGGTGGTTCGTGCATACGCGTATAGGTCCCCAGCCACAGGCTCCACCTTGAAATTCTGGCTGAATCCATATGACAGAAAGCTAGTGTACGTGACGGAAAGCTGGTGTACGAACAATGTATGGTATAAATGACCAATGTTGACAACTCTAACTAACTAAAATGACAAAACCCGCTATTTCAACAATCTGTGTGGACTATAATATGCACTTTTTGTATGGTATGCCTGGTACCAAATGTCACATGATGTTTCCGGTATATTACCTGGTTTCTACCATATATTCGGACTTGGTATTCGACACACCCCCTAGTTCTTAAAGCCTATATTTTCCTAGCTTTAAGAGCTGTCAATTCCTTCATTTCTACACTCTCTTCAAACAGCCTCTATTTCTCGGATCAGATGACTAATCTCTCTTATCCCAATCAGCTCTCTAAAGAGATACTACTTCTACCTTAGAAGTAGACTTCGGCAGAACCTATTTTGGGTCGGAACCTCCGACCCAAAACCTAACCTAACCTAAAACCTAATAGGTTAAACCTAATAACCTAATAACAATCTATTTAAACCTATTTTTATATAAAATATAGGTCTTAGCGTTTATAACGATACTAAGTTATTTAAATAAATGACTGATTTTTATAACTATTCTGGTTTATTTATCGGATATTACTATATTATCACGATATTGAGTTAGAAAATTTATATAATTACTCTAAATTTAAAGCTAATAGGCTTTATATTATATTAATTACCGATAAAAATTAATATTAATTATAGTATAGTAGTATTTGTTGGCACTTTAGCAGATATAATATTATAGCCTATAATTAGGTTATAATATTTTAGTAGGGAAGTGGTATTAGGTAATCTTTATAGCTTATATAATATAATTATATAAGATATAAAGGGTTATACTTAGCTAGAATAGGAATTAATATAAGAGGTAGAAGTCAAGTTGATTGTTATTATGCTTATATTATTATAACATACTAGCTAAGCAAGGAATTTCGATTCCTTATATAGCTAGTTAGGAGACAATTATAAGATAATGTAATATCTCATAATGTTATAATATAACTTCACTATATATAGCAAATATTATAATATGACCTCACTATATATAGCAGATAATAGTGAGTCATAATATAGTTTACTATATATTATATATCTAAGGATCACTTAGATAGTACCGGTAAAATATATATAGGCTCCTTTCCTATTATAATAATATATATATACTATAATATATATCCTATATATATATTATATAATACTATTATGCTAATATGCCCCCTTAATCCTTATAATAGTTATAAGGATTATTAGTATATAGTATATATATATATATATAGTAGGTCCTTATATAGTATCTAGATTAGCTAGATCTATTAAGGCTTTATATAAGATATTATTAATATTCTTTATTAAGAAGTTAGCTAGTATATATTTAGAAGGTATCTAGTTTATAACTACTTTTCCTTCTAATATAGCTTATTTTATAAAATAGTATATAATTTTAATATACTTAGAGCGCTTATAGAATTCTAGATTTTTAGCTAATTTTTTAGCTAAATCACTATTAACTAAGTGTTACGTACTAGCTAACTAGTCACGGTTAGGTTAGATAGGTTTAGGGAATACTTGCCTTAATACTCCTCGAATAGTCTAACGCTAATGATCCGGTCTTAACTAAGCTAATGCCGCGTAGGGCCTTATAGTAGCCTAAGTCCTTTTAAGCGATTAAGGAACTAATACTAGGTAGAGCGCCGAGTAGATCTATACCGGGGTATTAATCTACTCGTAAGTATTATTAAGTTATAATCAAGTAAAGAGTTATAGTAATCTAAAAGGTAAATATAAGTAATAATATATAATTAAAGACGAAGAACTAAACTAGATATATAAATAAGTATCCTTATATATCCCTAAGTTCTTCTTATATAGAATAGGAGATAATAGAATAGTAGAATTACCTTAGCGGATTCTACTAATCTACTTACTACCCTTCTACTACCTATATAATTACGTAATACTAAGTAGTAGTTATCTAGTATATAGAGTAATCTATATAATAGAAATCCTCTATAGGGTAGATCCGCTTAGGGTAGATTATACTCTTACTTAATAAGCTTATATATAATCTACTAATAGATATCTTAGTTAGCTCTCGATAGCCTATTAGTATACCTAGTAGGTTACTATTAATTAGTAATAGATAGATCTATAATATTACCTCCCCTCTTCCTAGGAGTTTTATCTTTAAGACTTATAAAGCTATAATATCCCTCTTTAGGTAGGTAATAGATTTCTTTTTTTAAAATAATACTTCTTTATTATACCTAAACGAAAGGCTAACTCTATTTTTTTATTTACTCCTAAATTTCCCTCCGATTCTTCTAATACTTATTATTATTAAGCGACTTATATTAAAGATAATAATTTTATTATCTTTATTTCTTATAATTATTATAAATTAGTAGGTATTACTTATCTAATAGACCGTTCTTATTAATATTCGAAATATATCTTATATACTTACGCGGGTTATTTATATAAGTATAACTTTTATATTAGTTAGGAATAGGATTTATTATATTATACCGAAACTAAACTTTCTTTAGATCTTAAAATAAATAAAAGTAAACTCGATTTATTAAAATCTAAGTTAAGCGAACTATAAGCTTATCTTATAAAGCTATATTAAAAACTATTAAATAAATAAAAATAATACTAGAAAGTAATATCTAAGTAACGTTAGTTATATAAATAAATATCCTTCCTAAAATAAAAGGGTTTTAATATATTAGAATATAATACTAAACTCCTTTAAATTCTCGATAAAAAGTAAATATCCCTAAAGTAGGCTTCTCTTTCTACTCTTAATCTTAAGTAGCTTACTACTACTACCGATTATCCGAACTTTAATTAGATATTAGTAAAGATTATTAATTTCCCTATTTCTTTCTAAGATAAATCCGGTTTTATACCCTCCTCGCTTTCTATTATATAAGGGTCCTTTTCGTTTATTAGTAGTACTATTAAATAAGCTAATAGTAGCCCTTTAGATTTTAGATAGGTTCCTATATATTTTCTAAAGTAGGATACCCTTTCTACTAAACTAAGAGTTATTACTAATTATTATACTATTTATCTAATAGGATTTATTCGACTTTATATTTATCTTCGGTTTCCTCGATTTCTATATTAATTATAATTTTAGTATTATCTAGTACTAGTTCGAGTAATAAGATATAAAATACTATATAGAGTTTTTATATACTTTTAGATAGCTTTAAGCGATAATTTACTAGTCCTAATTTTTTTTTAATCTTAAATAGTCCTAATTATAGGTAGTCTAATTTATTACTAGGTCGCTTAATTTTAATATTATATTATAATAAGTAAACCTTTTCTCCCTTCTTAAGGTTAGGTCCCTCTCTATAGTAGTTATTATAGTATTTTTTTATATATAGATTAATAAAGTTAATATCTCTAGCTAGTTATATATATAA